CCCTTTTCTTAACCAAAAAAGAGAGAGAGAGAGAGAAAAGGAAGAACAGAAAGAGAAAGGAGCACGCTCGTAGACTCCGACAAGGGAGGCAGTTGTACGCAATCAACGCTAATTTATGACCGCTCTGAAAGGATTTTACAACGGGATAGCAAAAATGTATACATGCCTGTATTATGCGATAAGGAGAACGGGGTTTGACGTTAGTTGTGGTTTTAAGGCCTTTTCAGAAAAGTGCACAGAGAAGACTTGGCTTATTCTACGGGTAACGATTTGCTATGTGTGGTGTTTTTAACTTTTTATACGTTCTTATTGACATAATTTAGGACATTTGGAGGCAGGCTACTTCGACTCTGCCAGTCAAGGTCTATTATTACGCAGGACTGAATAGGATGCATCTCTTCATCCAGACGGAGATACTCGATTTTTTAAAATCCCAGCTCGGGAATCGAACTCACATCTTGAGCCTGCAAGCGCGAAAAGTCTTACCATTACACCACCGACGTCGGTTTAGTATCTTTGAAATTTTCAGGAGTGAGTTGAGAGAACAAAGGTTGGTCACAGCATGCTTATAGAGAGTCGGTAATGAAAGCAGTGACTCCGATATGATGCCTGTTTTTTGACGAATTTTTCTAACACTGTGGCCCCTTTCTCCTACAAAACCTAACAAACAAACCAACAAGCGAACAAGTAAACATACACACATACACAGGAGTAGGAGTACAAGAGTGGGCGAAGTTGTAAACTCTTTCTCTCACCTTTCTCACTCTTTTCTCTCGCCACCACCCCACACTTTTTTTAGTTTGCTCCCCTGGCTCTTGTTGTTGCACTTCTCGAGCGGTTGCAACCAAGCGAAAGTGGTAAGGAATTAAAGAATGAATTAAGTCTTTAAAACATGTAGCACGCGCTCACAAAGAAACTATAACTCTGTCTTCGGCTTTTTCTACCCGTTCAGAATTTAAAACCCAGCTTAAAAATTTGAGTCTGTGAGTCGATGAATGCACCTTCGCATTAATTCAATACAGGTGTCCTGTCTCCATTTCCACGCTCATTAGCTCGCACGTGCTTGCCAGTTCTGGCTTAACGTTTTGTTTAAAGCGACTTGCGCCTGTGTTGGACGACAACCCAGAACGCTTCGGTTCTCATGGTCAACTGTGGGGTCTTTGTGATTCTCGATACTTTTATTGGCAATTAATCCTCTCGCTAATTGAATTGCTCGAAGGGGGTACTTCAGTAGAGAAAGAAGGTTGGGTTTCTTTTCTTTTGATGAGAGTGAGGATCCAATGGGCGTAAGCATTGTGATGTAGTGAAGTGTGTGCCCATCAGGGGTACAATAGCAATTCTTCAATAATTTCCGAACTAAAAAAAAACATATATTTTTAAAACCTTTCTCTTGGAACTCTGGTACAGTATGGAGAAATTAATGTATCCAGTTTTCAGTTAATCATTCTGCAGCAGTGATTAAATTATATGAAATACACAATTTAATTATAGAGCTATGTAACATGATGGACAGAAAAAATCTACAGAAATGTAAGCCTATCTGGATAATATAAGGACACTGCCAGGACACTTTGTAGGCTCTTAGATGCGAATCGGAACAATGATTCACAATCTGATTATAAAGTCTGTGTGTGGAGGCGCTATAAAATCTCTGTGTTTTACCGCACGATTGTAAACATAATACACCTAATAGAGGGTAATTTAAGACCGAAAACCCGATCTTATGTAACAGCAAAATTTGCTCGCCTTTCAAAACATGTTTTCTCAGTCCTGTTATTTTTTACCTTTAATTTTTATAGATTAATCCCGTACATGCTCAGAGAGTAAAAGGAGACGCCGACATGGTAAAAACTCGCGTCAGTGCAATTAGAATCGAGCACGAACTATAGTTTTTAAAAAACGAGATAAGATGAAGAAGAGACGGCGGCATAAAAAAACATTGAATAGAAATCTGTGGCTCTTCTTTCCTATCAGCTCTGCAATCTAACTTGGAGCGCCAGTGTTTCTCTTGACCCGCTGGCTTAATTTCCGTCCGTTTGACGCCTTCTTTCAGTTTGTTTTGTCTCCAGGGACTTCCCCGGCTTTCGCTTTGAATTCTGGGCCTGTGACGCAATTAGCGCTTGCCCTGGGCACATCGCAGTGATGAGATTTGAGATGGAGAGAGAGAGAGAGAGAGGGATTCGATGTTGAGATTCTGGAATTGGAAAAAACACGCTCAACGCACTCACTAGCACACTTGAGCATAGACGTCAACCCACAAACACTCATGGATACGCACAGGCACGCAGGCACACACACACACACACACACACACACACACACACACACACACACACACACACACATACAGAGATATTGAAACACTCATAAGCAATGCTCGGCGTAACTTGCATTATATATAGTAGGCGGCAGACACAATAAAACGACGACAACAACAACAACAACAACAAGTTTAACAACTATATCATCATCAACAACAACAACAACAACAACAACAACAATAACAACAACAACAACAACAACAGCAACAGCAACAGCAACAACAACAACAACAGCAGCAGCAAAAACAGAAAAAATATAGTGACAACAATAACAGCAAGAAAAGAACAAAACAAACGATGACAATAACAACAAAAACTTTATCTCAGTCGATATGGCTGCACATTTGAAGGCTGTGGGTGAGACCTTGTGGTTAATTATAGGTCTATGGACCTTGTCCATTCACCCCTTTCCCACAAAGTCGTTCGTGATCTGCTTTTCCCACTCATTGCGGCGTCGTTAGTGGTGTCTGCGGTTATATTTACGCCACCTTCC